CATTTCACAATGCAAACGTAGCAAAAGAGAGTTAAACTGGATTTTTTTGGTCTAGTAAGAAATGCCTTAGTGTTAGCTGTATTTCCACTCTTCAGTATCCAGACTGTCAGCATGTCCTGTTTCCACTCTTTTCACCCATTAAATATGATTTGTTAATGTTTTTTTTCTGTCAGGGAGGTAAAATCCCCATCCGCTGGACTGCGCCAGAGGCCATCGCATACAGGAAGTTCACCTCGGCCAGCGACGTGTGGAGCTTTGGTATTGTCATGTGGGAAGTCATGGCATTTGGAGAACGGCCCTACTGGGACATGAGCAACCACGAGGTATGTTTCATTTGTCACTTTTCGTGGAGATGAGGGATTGTTTTGGCCTGTGAGGGTCAAACTTTAATGTATATTAGCAGTGAGAGTCTGCGTGAGCTATGTGGTGATAGAAAGTTGCCAGACATCCAGTGTAGTCTCCAACCGTCCTCTTCAAATCTGTTAAATACTGTTAATGTCAACATATGAGCACAGCAGTTTATTGTAGCAATGGCAGGCAGTGGTCTATGATTAATCTAACCACTGCTTCACTCCTTCCCAGGTCATGAAGGCTATCAACGAGAACTTCAGGCTTCCTGCTCCAATGGATTGCCCATCCGCTATCTACCAGCTCATGCTCCAGTGTTGGCTGCACGAACGCTTAAAGCGACCTCGCTTCTTAGACATCGTCAACTTTCTGGACAAACTTCTCAAAAGCCCAGAATCCTTAAAGACCATCGCAGACTTTGACCCACGGTATGAACACAATAAATAACAGGAAGGAATGTGCCTTCCATCTTTTTTTTTTTTTAAATCTTTAAACAAAAACAGGGGGAAGTGTAACATGTTGCTTTACATCTTGTTTATTTGATCTGTACAAATACAGATAGGTGCGTTTGTGTGTATGCATGAGTGGAATTATTCCTTGGCAAGAAACAATGAGTCTCTGCTGGTTGTTATCCAATTATTTTCTTCTGATAAGTAGTTCTTCATAAAACTACTGATCTTGTTTTTACATCTCCAAAAATTCAAACCATTTGGGGACAGTGTTAAAAGAAAGTGATTATGCTAACTTCCAACTTCATAGTTTTTAGTAGCTTTTAATTGCTCACAGTGCAAAATAATCCTTAATTATGTTATACCGGGCCTTAGTGCAGATCCTCAGTTCACTTATTGTCCTAAACAAGCCAGCTTTTCTTCTGATTGGCTGCTCCTCATAAATGGTGCTTAAACAACAGCTCACAGCCAAAGCAGTGTGCCTGAGCTGACCACATTAAGGATATTTGCTATCAGTGAAATTGGTACAAAGGTCAATGGAAAATACTCTGTGAAACCGAGCCTGAACTTTCAGCACAGAGGGATTGGTTGGACGCTATTTGAAACTGTGGCCTATGTTTAATATAGAATGCATCACAGGCCATATTTAGAGAGAATAAAGAGACTGTAGTGGATTGTAAAGTTACACAACTCACAGCTTGTAAGTGGACTTTAAAACAATAAAGCAGGTTGTTTCCTCTTCAAACATCATCACATGTACTCAGCTTGCATAAACACACTGTTAATGATGAGTAATCCAACTACATTTTGTTCCTCACAGCGTCTCCATCCGGCTGCCCAGCACCAGCGGCGGCGACGGTACCATGTTCAGGTCGGTACCCGAGTGGCTGGAATCCATCAAAATGAGCCAGTACAAGGAAAGCTTCGCTCGCGCTGGGATAACGACCATGGAGCAGGTGCTCGCTTTGAGACATGAGTAAGTGCACATATGGCACAGGTGCAGCCTCCGTCATGCTGTACTAACTTATCCGGCACCGTTGCACATTTTTTCAGTGACACAGAGAAAGTGTCCGACTGTCAGCCTGAACATTTGTTAACCAGCGTGCGAATGCATGAGCACTCTGCTCCCCCTCTGCCACTCATGTCATTCCACTCATTCTCTGCTGCTGTTACTTCTGCATGAGTGGCTCACAGGCATTTTTTTTCTGAAATATGCCCCATAGCCCTGTCAGATAAACCCAAGTAACCATTTAATGACAACATCGCTTTAAACAAACCATTTTAAACCCATTTGAAATAATAAACAATAATGGTTTGGTTCATTTGTACATATTTTTTGTGTAGGTACAACTTTTATATTACCCTTAAGCCACTTATATGAACTGTCTTTGCCTTTTAAAGGAGTTAAAACACCCTGAAAATGTGTTCACATACACCACTGCTCTGCTGTTTTGTTTTGTTTTTTGTTTTGTTTTTTGTCGTTTCAATCCTGTGTTCACGAGATACTTATGTGTCATTTTCAGAGACATCAGGAACATCGGAGTGAGGCTGCCTGGTCACATGAAGCGGATAGCATACAGCATCCTGGGCCTGAAAGACGAGACGAGCTCCCTCAGCGTGTTCGCCGTGTGATCTAAGCATTCCTTCAAATCAAAGTGCACTGACCGACCATGCCATTTCACTCACGGAAGACAAGGACTGAAGTGGAGGGGCTGGAACTGAGCTACACTACAGCAGTGTGGTATGACTGAAAGGGACCCTCAGAGAGGACTCAAAATGAGACCATTCATGTACTTAATAAGAGAAAAGTAATTTATCTTTATATAAAAGTGTTTATAATGTCGAACATAAGCAAGTTATGCAATGCAGTAAATAAAATGATATAAATGAGGGTCAAATGTGGGATAATGTGAGAATGCTCGGCCCTGCATTTCCTGAAAGACTGAAATATCTAAGGCTCTTCAATGATAAAGAGCGACTTCTTAGAAGCACTCAGCATCCTGCCAGTGATTCTGAATCCTTAAATTTGTTTTGTTTACTTCTTGTGATCAGTGAGACTTTCTTTTAAATTAGGAATTGTTATTCCTCTCAGGGCAAAGAATCACATTCTTATGGTTTGTTTTTTTTAGTTAGTCTCTGTGTCACACCACGCATCTCTTTGTTTTGTTTACATTACGTCTTAATACAAATGTTCATTTTTTTATTTATTATTTATTTTGTATTTATGTCAATTGTTACATGATAACTCTGATCTTGTGCACAGGTGGTGTATTTCGTGTTTAAATAAAATCAGAGTTGCCTTGTAACTGTATCGCTTTCTTGTATTGGGCAGCAGTGAACATGTGTTTTTAGACTCATGGCTGTAGTGAAGGCAAGTGTGACAGTCTGCTAAAATAGCTCAACACCAAGCTGGATGGATTGGCATGAAAGCTGATTCAAACGACTGTGGTCCCCTGGCAATGAATCACCTGCTTTTTTTTTTTTTTTAAAAGCAACACAAGCAGGTTGACATTTGTGGGTCAGACAGACGGTTTCAATAACTTCCGGATGGATGACCATGCACATAGTCTTCCTAAACTTTGATCATCAGCTGAACTTTCAACTAGTGCTATCATTAAGTAAAACAAAAAAAGCTCTCCATCAGCCTCAGCTGTACTACTTTGTAGTTACAAGAAAATATTAAATTACATTAATACATAACACCTAAAAGTAAAAGGCCATGTTTTAAAAACATAAGAACATATAAACTCTGCAAAAAGAGGTCCCAGTTGGCCAAAAGATTCAAACCCAGAACCTTCTTGCTGTGTGGGGCGGCACTAACCATTGCACCACCATGTCGTCCATATAATAGTGCCTCTCTATGCAAAGTGTGCAGAAATTTTCTTTGAACTTGAGCGTTGTCTCCATTGCAATGATCTTTCCATACTATCCCAATCTCCACGTGTTGTGATCATCTGTTTCTGGAAACCTGAAGCTCAATCAAAATCTATCCTAATCTGCTGTCTGTTCAATCTAAGATGTATTCACTGCTACAGATGTGCTTCCATTAAACACACTTCATTTTTAAGGCCTGCTACGATGTAGGGTTTGAAGTTGGATGGTGGCTCTGACATGCAGGCAGATGAGCTGCTGTGATGACCCTTAAAGGGAGCAGCCAAAAGAAGATACTTCATACTTGTTCATATTTGTCTTATTCCATTAGCTCTGCAACAACAGAGAGTGTGAATCAAACCTTCAGTCTCCTTTTCAAAAGGCAAAAGCATCATCATTATGCATTGCAGCTAATAGTTGCTCTGTTTCTAGACTACACTCAGTAATAGCATGTCACACAAGTGTGCTACACAAAAACTGAGGGCATGGTGTGATGGACCCGCACACAAGAATTTCACTCATATGTACTGTACCAGTGTACCTGCACATGTGATGTGACAATAAAAGTGATTTGATTTATTCAGTTTTTGCAGTGCTTTAACAATCCAACACCATAATTTCTTCACTATATTATGGAAATCATACTAAAAAAACCAAGAAAAGTAAAAGATAGTGGCTTACAAATTACAATGTCTTATTAAATAGTGTTGGGGACAGGTTGAGTTGTCTTAGTTCTTAATTATTTCAGAGCAGAGCGGTGCACAGGCACACATATTCAGACCAGGCTCTTAGGCCTATCTAAAGGCCTAAGGCTCAGTGGCCTTACTTACTTTAGCAAATGCACATGCCCCTCTAAAAGGCTTTACACAGGGTAACATCCCAACATGGACCCAACATGATATGAACCCATAAATTAGTTGATGATCAAACCAGCTTTTATCAGTGTGTTTTGCTTTTCATTCGCCGGTACAGCCTCACAGAGCTTGTTTTGCCGTGTTTGTCATGCAGATGGAATTGATAAGGCTTCGTTACTTTGGCAAGGTGGGCCAAAATGTCACACTTACTCATGAGTGTGCTCCTTCATACCCACAGCTGTGATTAATCACCCCTCTGCTCAGTTTAACTGGAAACTCATTGACACTGGGTCTTTTGTGTCAAATCCCCCTTACACATCCTTAAAATGACCACAGTTAAATTATAAATTATGAAAGATAACGTGACCTTTGTGGCTTAAAGTTAAGACTGGCAGCTCACACAATGATAATTATTATAATTATAGTATATTGCTTCACACAGAAACATCTCCGCACCCCTTTCTCACACATAGACACAAAGACTCACATGGACCCCAGTCATGGGTGCGGCTAAAAATGTCAGACCCCCTTGACAACAGTTCAACAACAGTTCTGACACATTAAATATCTACAATCGGTGTCATGTTCCAGTCCAGCTGGATCATTAAGGGACCAAGCCACAGCCACACCCGGTGGTACACACAATTTCCCAGTAGCCTATAAAAGACTCAGTGCATGATGGTAAAGGTTTTAAGACAGACAAAGGAGAATTTACTATGGAGAAAAATGGGAGAAATTTCTCTGAGGATTCAGGATTGCTAAATCAGCACAGCACCAGAGAACACAAATTTACAGGTCAGCTGGACCTGTACTTTAAT